TATATATTATATATGTATCATCTATGTACACGTTCTTTGCATATAGTGACAGTTGTGGCTACAATACCTGCATTACAGTCCGCGTTAGTGCAGATATACGGGTCAAAAACTACACATCCTTCTTCTTCCCAAGCATTCACTAATGCTTGTAGACTATGCAGGGGTTCATACCTAGAGAATCATACTTCACTCGAATTATATACCTTTGGTTTCCATCCTTTGTCAGGATTTTGCCCAATTTGAGGGAAGTCCAAAATACTTGTCACACTTGCGTGGTATGTATACACTTGTATCGGTCAACCGAAGGGATAGCCGTTAAAACCAAGAGACCTAGCACAGTTAGAACCATAAAGATACATACAACCAACAAATGGTATATACAATATAAAGGGCATACTTTATGTATCATATTTACGTCCTCTATATACCATACATACATAGCCCTCTCTATATACATTCTAGAATTTTTAAGATTGCATGGTGGTATGGGGAGCCAATGAACACCGGCCAATATTTCGATTCAGCCAATGTAAAACAAATACAATTCTCATTTCGCCAATAAAAATGGGTCCCAATTCCGTGCCCTTTTTTCGGTGCAAACGTGGCTTGCGAAACTTAATCGCGATTCTAAATATAGTACACAGTACATACACATTACACAGCAAAAACTATCGACTGTAAATACTCGCGTTTTTTTTTAAACTTATGTGGTGTGGGTGTGTTTACACGTATAAAAGGGCAATACTCGCGCTCATCTGTACATAAACTGTTGCGTGTTCTGCACTGCACATACGAAGACCATTCTATGATACTGTTTCCAGCTGAAATACTACACTCAGCTATCAACCTTGAAACACCCAGTACCAAAGTTAACAACGCGAACACATACATTCGACATGGCACCGTCTCAATACGATGTTGACTTCATCGTCATCGGAGGTGGCTCTGGTGGTATGGCAGCTGCCAAAGAAGCAGCTAAAAACGGTGCAAAAGTGGCCCTTTTTGACTACGTGAAGCCATCTACACAAGGAACTCAATGGGGTTTGGGAGGTACCTGCGTGAATGTAGGTTGTGTGCCGAAGAAGATCATGCACTACGCTGGTTTACAGGCTATCAATATGCACGACGCCCAGGCGCTGGGGTGGCAGGTAGAGGCGGATAGTATCAAGCACGACTGGACAAGTATGTTTTTTATATGTATAAGTATAAGTATGTATTTGTATATGTATATGTGCAAGTATGTATTTGTATCTGTATATGTATAAGCATGTATTTGTATATGTATATGTATGTATTTGTATATGTATTATGTATTATGTATTTGTTTATGTGTACGTATAAGTTTTTATATGTATATGTATATGTATATGTATGATATATTTGTATATGTATGCCGATGTATATGTATACATGTTTATGTGGATGAATTAGTGTATATTCTTGCACAAATATGCATGTGTTGTGTAACAAAAGTTATCTTTCTCACTTAGATCCAGCGATATGTTCTCAGACTATTCTAAGTAAGTTCTTAAATGTACAAACCTGTTTATTCCATCCATGGCCATACTCAAATGTCAAATTGCATGCGGGTGTATTTATGTGGGAATGTTAGTATATTGGTATATGTTTGTTCTTTGGATTTGTTTTGATTATTTTGTAGTCCGGCATTGACATTTGTGCAAATGTACTCGAATTTTACTTGTAAACAAACTTTGCGATCACAAGAATGCAGATAAC